TTAACAATTAGTGTGTAACCCGTCGAAATTATGACGATATTTTTCTGAAAGGATTTAGGCAAGCATCCTTAATTGTAATGAAGTTAGAAAAATCATTACTTTTGAAAACCAGATGGAAGATAGATTCCAAAATTGATTACACAATTTGGCTCGATGTAATTGTCATTGATGTAGAAACTATCTTAGACAAACACATAAAATATGTATTACATGTAATCCAGAAGAAGAAGAAGAAATGATTAAATCAATCATGAACAAAGAAAAAGCTCGTAATAATAATTTTATACCACAAGATTGGTCAGAAGTCTCTTTCAATAAATATTATTTTCCTTACGACTACTCAAATAATGAAAATAATAGTATTACCAGTATTCCATGATCACAATCAAATAGTGACAATATCCAAACAACATCCAGAAGATATCAAGAAAGAAATGCAAAATTAAGTAGCAATTCTAATAGAAAAGTCAACAACAAAAGATCAGAAAACAGTAGAAGAATACCTAAAACTTTATCTACTGATAAAACATCTTTTTGGAAACAAATGAAAGAAGATTTGAACCAGTTAGAAGAACAACAACAACAATTACTCAAAGAACTAGATGACTTCTTACACAAATATTGGACTATACCAAATGAAAAAGAAACACAAGAAGCTAAAAAAATTCATGAATTCATTGACCAACATTGGAATTCAGGAGAAGTCACACAACATGTGGAAATCCACACATTGGCATGGAAATTAGGAATGTCAATTAGCCCCTTATATAATTCTTTAAACTCCAAAAATTCTCTTAAGTACAACTTACCTAAAGTGTACTACAACCCTGATTTATTGTAGAACCGTCCTGATTTTTCTTTCATTTAATGATGCCTATGCATCATTACTTTAATTTTATTTTAGTTTAATAATTCTTATAATTTTTATATAAAAAGATCCCTTTTAAAAATCGTTAAAAAAAATAGTATATAACAAAACATAACACATTTAAAAATCTTTATATCTTTTTAATTTTTCCTTTATTTTATTTTAAATTTATCATGTATATTTCAACTCCAATTGAAATTTTACCCTTTGAAATTCAACAAATTATCACTGAATTATCTACAAAATTGAAGCAACAATGTCCAAACACAAAAGTAGAAATTGATGAGAATGGAACTAATATTTACACTGATATTAATCTGGATCTATTGGATAATAATCAACTGGATAATACAACAGTAGAAGTTCTACCAAAATCTTCTATACCAATTCTCAATATGGAAGGTTGGACCGAACACGAACAACGCATAATTCTAGGCATAAATGGATTAATACAAGCTGGACCAACACTTGAAACACTGATCAAATGGCCAGCAAGTGAAGAATATTTATTTATGTATATTTTTGATTTTGACAACAAACAGTATACAAAGGCTTCGATCTATTTTGAAATTGGAAGAATTCTCAGCAACCTCACTAATGGACTGAGAACAAAAACTCACATAATTGAAGCTAAAAATCTTTATCGACGAAATATTACTTCCACTAATGCCAAATACCAAAGTATTCTTGCTATGAGAATATACCAATATTTTAAGAATTATGAAACAATTCTCACACTCAAGGACATTGATAATTATTTATCTATTAACGCTATTGCAAGAATCAATTCAAATAATAGCAATAGTTTGAATAGTAGATTTTCAGAATATTTTAATTACATATCACA